GATTAATAAAAAGTAACATACGACTTCAAAGCAAAAGAACTAACACTTAATGTTTCATGGATTTGTTTTGAATATGGAATTAAAGTCCGAATTTTCGTTACCCTTTTAATTGGATTTATAAAGATACCTCTATGTCATCCAAATTTTAAAAAAAAGAATAGTTACATTAAAACTTTATACCCTATTTTCGACTCTTAGAAATGGAATTTTTCACCAAAATTATATAGGACTACCCTTGAAGTATAAACTTTAATATAATAAAAAAGAATATCACAATTGATTTACAATTGAGTAGGATATCGCGTAATATATTATATAGTCGAAGTATAATTCTTTTTTTACTTAAGCTAAAATTGCTTAAAATACTTACAATTCATTTGTGTTCAAATTGGCTAGTAAGATATATTGTATGATTCCAGCAACGATATAATTTTAAAGTAAGAATATTTTTATGATAACATTTGTTTTTTTTTTATAGCAGAGGAGGCAAACGAGCATGCGGCTCACCTGATGGTATGTGACTACCGCCGCCCATGAACAACTGCAACACCAGGGGAATTGCAGATGCGTTGCCGGCCTTTTAAACAGGAGTAGGATCTTTTCTTGAAGGTCCTTAAGTCGCGCTGGTGTAATCGATCGCACAGTGTTGGACCGCCAATCATCCATATGGTATGGATGGTATCGTGAGTTTTGTGAAATTGAGCGGCTGGAATTAATCCGAACAATTCCTCAGAGCACTTCGAAAATATAAATTGCAAATATCAATAAAATATTATTAGCTTTATGTTCAATCTTCCTATAGTTTCACTAGCATTTCCCGTCCCTTCGGTAGGAGAATCGTGAAAAACCGAGTCGCATTTTACCCAGCGCTGGAACTAAAAATCTAAATTGCAAATTGCAATTTTTTTTTAACTCTTTAATCGTATATGTGCGACAAAAATCTAAACATAAATAATTTTTATTATTATCAATAAGCTTTATTTTATTTCTTTACTTTAAAAATAAATTTGTAAGACTAAAAATATAAAAATAAAAAAAAGTAAACGTTCAGCCTTAGCCCACTGTTGTACACAAACCTTGTCTTATTCCTAAGAAAGTTATAGATCATTTAGTTCGTACTGCTCCATTGCAAACATTTTTAGATATTATGTAGATTTTGTCCACGATGTTTCCCTTCATTACCGAGCTGGTAAATCAGCATTAAGATATCAATTAATAATTAAATGGTTGGTTGTTCTTTTGAATTTGAAATTTACAGGGGGCGCTTCGCCACTGAGTTACCACGGCTCTCAAAATACAAAATTTCGTTATGAAATAACTTACAAATAATACATTTGTTTTGGCTTCCAAGGTTTTTCTTTAATCCTCTTAAGTGCTCAAATCAAATTTACGTACGTCCAATAAACAAAGATCTATCTGCATAACTTGGACCACTTTATCGGAGCCGGGTAAATTGTTCTACCTAAAGCGGTTCTGAACAAGATTTACGCTCAAACCTCTGAGAAAGTTATTGGGCGACGCCATTCTATTCTTTTGTCTACGCTCTTATTATGTAAGAAGTTTATCGGCCCAAAAACACAGCATTATGTGACTCCCCACTTATTTTAGAACTAGTGCATGTTGAATGTAATGCATATTCATATTGTGTTATCGACAGGTTGTATGATTTATCACTACACAAACGGCATCACCTGTTTGCACACTTTCGCTCGTTTGCACAATGTTGAAGACAAATTGATGGTTGAATGATTAAGTGGTAGTGTACGAATATCCACTACCTCATATCGTTCCGTAAGTGCCGTAAGAGGCGACAGATGGAAACAAATCAGGAGATGGGTAGCAGTGTCTTCCTAATAACGACTAAAGTAAATAATGCGTTTAAAAATCGGCTTGCCAGGCGTGGCCAAAATCCCCCCTGTGAGGCAATCTATGTGGGAGGCCTATGTTCAGCAGTGGACTTTAATAGGCTGTAACGGTAACAATAATTGATGATGCTTTTAATCGTTATTAAGATTTATAAGCCAACTATTCATGATTCGGCGAATAATTTATCTTCTGTCTCACTTTGACCTTGTTTATATATTGTACAATAACCTGACAAATTTGCAGAGAAGGTTCAGCATAAATAATGTAGGCAAATGGTAAAGAAAACTTAATTAAAAAAATTTAAATATTCTGTCCTTTTAATCATATAAATTCAAAATGTGTGGTAATGCATTATTTTAACTGAGTGTCATTCATAAATTTCTAACGCCTACTATTTTACTACGCACGCACACATTTGTAAGGGTTGATTGGTTGGCAAACACGCTGTGAATTTTTAGCGCGTAGTTGTTGCCCATAAATCACATTCAGTTTGTGACAATTTCAAATAAAAGTAGAAGCATTATTTACTCGTATTTTCAAAAACTGCAACAACGGTATATAATTGTTTATGTATTTGAACTTAAGTTTAAAATTTGGTTACTTTTTAAAAAAAACCTGTATAGACACTTAAGCCACTACAATCTTTTGTCGCTAATATTATTTGATAGGCGATTTTGTGTTTTTTACAAAGATAACAGAAGTCATAGTTATAAATTGCAATTTAGGATTAGCCAAATGGTATTTCTGAATCCAGTGAACTATTTCAAACAGACAACGCCGAATCATCACATCTATCCAAGTGAAGAGAAAGGTGGTACGTGGTAGAGCCACGCAGCTATATTGTGGATGTAGCACTTATTGGTCGGCTCGACCACGCTCTCACAGAATACCAACGTAAAATATCAGCTCAATGCTACTGTGTTTCATATGGTGAGCGTAGAGATATGGATACCCTTTTCATTGGCAACGAGGCATTCCACCTAAGTCCTAAGGGGTGGCAAATTATCTGCATTTTTATTCTTAATCGAGCATTTACCATCAGGTGGACTGTGCGCTCCTTGCTCACCCTTATTTAAAAAAAAATTGGCAAAACGAACACTAGGTATATTGTAAAGTTTTGTTACTATAAATAAAATGAGACTTAATAAAGGCTTGCCACAGATGTCAGTACAAACAGCACGCAAAATGGATTTATTAGTGTTTCATTTATGAATTTTTTTTGCATAAAAATAATTCATGAATCCACTAAATCTGCTGTTACGTATTAAAGTTCCACGAATCATAACAAATTGCTACAGCTCTAACAGCTCTGAATAAATTTCACTTATTACTTTTATAACTGCAGTAATTCATGGTCGAAACTACAATGACCTGGCATATTAATGTTCGATCCAATTTGAAACATACGAGGCTAGGTCACTGGTACACAAAATTTCATTGTATAATGAAAGAAAATGAAAGTGATTTTAGTAAATTGTTATGGGTATAAAAGAGCTTTAAAATTATTAAGTATTTACATAAATATTTGTGATTTTACTATGCTTATGGATAACTTACAAATCTGAGACTTTCACTGCTGGCGGTGTGAGGAAGCTCAAGTTTGCTCAGCGAATTATGAATATTCTCTGCATGATAAACTTAGAAATGAGGATATTTGCAGCAGAACAAACATAGACCAATGGATTAGTAAGCGAAAGTAGCAATGGGCCGGCCACATAGCTCGAAGAACTGACAAGCGATGGGTAAAAAGGTTCTCGAGTGGCAGCCGCATACTAGTAGGCGGAGTGTATTGCAACCCCCACTAGATGGAATAACGTCCTGGTAAGACATGCAGGAAGTCGATGGATGCAGGTGGCTCAGGACCGTGTTTTGTAGCATTCCTCGGGGGTGACCTATGTTCAGCAGTGGACTTGTGAGGGACATTACCAGCCCTTAAATAGTTCAATGCTGGAAATAGAACTGTCCCCATCTAGGTTTAATTTGCCATAACTACCACGCCTGGCAAGCGGATTGGTGATTAGTAGTAGTAGTGTAGTAAATACTTTTGCATGTAAGACTATTACTCACATTACTATTTACACTTAGTGTATACACAAGTCATATTGTAATCCAAATGGTACATAGCCAAACTACAATTTATATTATATGATAGACAATATCCAAATGGTTTGTGACCGTTAAGAACTAATACGCAAGCGTGTAATTATTCTCATTCTCTTTAATTTCCAACTGAAATAAAAGAGAATGAGTGAAATAAAAACGAATTCCATACCATCTGGATGATTGGCGGTCCACCACTGTGCGATTTAGAAGATGTTTTCTTCCTTGCACAACTTCCCTGTGGAATCGATTACCACCAGCGATTTTTCCGGACCGATACGACTTAGGGACCTTCAAGAAAAGAGCCTACTCCTTTTTAAAAGGCCGGCAACGCACCTGCAATTCCCCCGGGTGTTGCAGTTGTTCATGGGTGGCGGTAGACACTTACCATCAGGTGAGCCGCATGCTCGTTTGCCTCCTCCCTATAAAATATACATTAATGAAGCTACCCCTACTTTGTCGTAGAAAGCAAAAGGATGAAACCAGCCCAGAAGTATCACTCTTGACCTATATCATTATATCACAAGACAGAGAAGAAGCAATTATTAAAACTATGATATATAAGAAATATAAAAAAGTGTGTTAAAACTTGCTAATTTCGAACAGTTCAATTCACACCGACCCCAATGAAATTGTTAATTGCAATTTAAAGTGCTCAAACAAACCTACGTGTCTAAGAAAGTTAAAAAGAAGAAAAAGAAAGAAAGAAGAAGATTTGTGAAGTCCGCCAACACGCAATAGGCAAGCATGGCGGTCATTTCCTTGCCCTAAAACCCTCTCGTTAATGAGAGAAAATAAGTGGTCCTACCCCAGTCAAGCCGACCCATTCGACCAACAACCATAATATATGTAGCTCCAACGTGGCTTGACCACGTGCAATACATTATTGATATAATATTTACAAAGTTTGAGCACCACTACGAAATAGCTGCGACGATGTAGTCATAACAATATGCGACAAATCGGACAAGCTGCAGTATTCAATGGCTAATTGATGCAATAAGAACGCAAGCGCATTTCGTCCCGCAAACAACATGGCGGCTATTTTTTATGTGTATTTAATATTAATTGGTGGATTTTGTGTTCGAGCTTTAGAAACTATCAAAGGTATGATACTGTATATAATTAATTTATTCATATTTTGCCCATCACTTCTGTTTGTTTTGAAAATCGTTGCTCATAAACAATTGATAATGAGTTTATTCAGCCATAATTAACCAACTTTTCTAAGTAATTTTACGACTTGAATTATGTAATACATTGTGTACTCTAAATATACATTTCTTCATCTATGATTTGAAGGAATAGGAAAGTCTTCATATAGATATTTCAAGGAAAACATGTTTTCTATTTCTCATATTAACTTTTATACATTCTACTTTTTATTACCTACATTGTAATTCCACGACTCACAACGCGAGGGAGTGCTCTATTCTCGATATGTGGCCATACCTCAATTTCGCTACATAAAATCGTTCTTATACTTTTTGCTAGACATCTAATCCATATTATTATTAACGTTACAATGACTACAGATATTAAATTATAAGATTAGATTATTTTCTAATTAATTCATTTTAGAATATATATAGAAAATGTAATTGAAAAAAATATATAGACTGCCGTCCGTTGGTCTGTGCATTGGTGAGTCTTCTCGCTTAAAAGAAATGTAAGCAATAAATTGAGATATATCAGTATTAAATAAGATTCCATGTGGAACGAGGATTCCTCATGATTTTTGTTATTGAACTCCACCGTTTAAAAGTTATTAATGAAAGTCGATCAGATTCTCTGGTTTTTTTTTTCTTATACGAATTATCGTAAATATTTTTATTTTCTTCATCAAAATTAAATGAAATGCTCATGAGGCGTGCACTTTTTGGTTTTCCAAACAAGCGAGCACACAATCCACCTGATGGTAAGTAGTTATTGTGGCCCATAGAAATCTAGATCTATCCACATTTGCAAATCAAAATGCAGATGCGTTTTCAGCCGTGAGGACTAAGATAGAATGCCTCCTTTCCAGTTAAAAGGGTCTCCGGTTCTCTACACTTACCAAACGAAACACAGCAGCATTAAGCTGCTAGCGCTGGTATTCTGTGAGAGCGTGGCCCTTCCCGAGTCGAGTTGACCTATTCGTGCTACAACTATACAATTAATATAGCTGCATCATGGCTCTACCACGTTTCAAAAATTAATATGAACATTATATTTTTATATTATTATTTTATATAACATTATATTTATATATGGACATTATATATATTTCCATTTAAGAATACAGAGTAGTTTTACCAAATGATGGTTGACGTGGTAGAGCCACACAACAGCACGAATAGGTTGACTTGACCGTTAAAGGACTACCATCTATTACAGCCTATAAGAGTCCACTGCTGAACATAGGCCTCCCCATAGATTCCCTTATATAGGGATGTTTGCCATAGTTACCACGCTTGGCTAGCGTGTTGGCAACCGCAGTTTTTTACTTTTAGTTGTTGTTCAAAAGACGCTGCTGCCCACTTCCTGTTTGTTTATCTCTGTCGCCTCTTAAGACACCCACGTGAAGATATGGGGTAGTGGATATTCTTACACCGCCACTACAAGATAAGCACTTTACACAGTATCTCCCTCTGAATACCAGCATTAAGTATTAGTATAATGCTCCTGTGCTTCTTGTCGTTGGTGTCGAGAACCGGAGACCCATATTATTGGAAGTCTTTGAATAGACTTTGTCTCAGGGATAACGATGCATCTGAATTTTAATTCCTAACAGAGGATAGATGTAGGTGTCTACGGGTCACAATATTCAATTAACATCGAGTGAACAGTGTGCTCGCTTGTTGTCTTTTCTTTTATTAAAAAAATATCTCGCTGAGTACAGACCTTTTTGGGAGAAAATGCTGTAAAAAACTACTCGTAACAATGCTCGTTGAGCTGAAATTTCACTATATATATTTTATTATTCGTATAAAAAACCAACATAAAAACAACTGCATTGGTGATGGCACCTACATCATTTATATACTATTAAAATTCTTCCTTCAGATATGCCATTGCTTGTATGGGTAACGCTCTATAACGTGCCATTCAATTGTGAAAAATTCCAATAGCTTCATGAAGGATCGCTGTAATGAATGCTAAATAGATACCTTTATGAATGCTATTTTTAAATGTTTTAGTGTTCCATTACCATCTAAAGAACCATAATATATACATAAGTGTTTTAACAAATACATGTGATTTTAAATGAGCGATTAGGTCACTAGTTTAAGAGGGGAACTATTACAAATATATTGTATTATATGTATATTATATAAGTATATTTTATTATCAAATTCCTTAAGTCTGGATTTTTAAGTAAATAAAATGCCTTACGTTTGACGTATTATTAGATAGGTGTTGTATAGTAATTTAATTACAACTTTTAGCAAATACCCCTCTATATCTAGATCCTTCACTGTCATTCCAAAATAACGGAAAAAAGTTTAAATTTGAGTAATATAAAATAATTAAACTCATGCTATGAAATCTCTAAAATAATTAAGAAGACCAACGTAATTGTCAAAACTTAAAATGTAAAAAAAAATGTAAAAATTAACTCCAAATTACTAAAAAAAAAATCATATAAATAGTTTATAAACAAACATTTCATTCCTTTGAGTGCTATAAGAAATATAATAAGCCCAGGGTATTAGAATATTGTTTGATCTTTAAAAAAATGTAGAGAGTAGGTTTTGTCATGAAATACAAATAGAACCAAAGGAGGTATTTAGAAAGTAATAGTTATTAAAATTCGTAATAAGTGAAGATATCACGTATCATAAATAGCAAAACAAGGAACATACAGTGAAACTGAGAACCTCCTTATATTTAAAGCCGGCTAATAATAACTAAAATAAAATAATTATAAATCTTTATTTTCTTTGAACTCTTCTTTTTCGCTTCTTACTCTATTTCGCTATATACAGTTGTTACAATAATTATTTTGATCCTGTATGCCATATTAGATCTGCCGCATTTGAATAGTGTAACAGCATACATCAAACAAAACTGTGGTATATCAAGGTAATTTCAATTTTAATTGGATTTTTTATTGTTCGGTACCTCCAATAAAATCAATAAATTATAACAATAAATAAAATCACAAATAAAAAAATGTAACAAAAGGAACGGCCATCAGACTCTGGAACGACATCCCTTTTGACAATAAGAAAGCTCCTAACAAGTTTGTTTTTAAAAAACTAAAACAGCTCTTATTTTCAATTACATATGTGTATTTCATATTTGTTCTGACATAGATAATATTTACATCTATTATGTATATATGTACTTTTTTCATGTATATATATATATATATATATATATATATATATATATATATATATATATCCATATATATATTTATTAAGTCCGCCATCATATTTTTATTATTATTACTTTGTGCATGAAAGTTTAAATAAATAAATGTATAATAATAAATCTTATAAATAATTTGTAGCTGCCTCAAATTTGTTTTAACATAGTCATTTTTACTTTAAGAAACTTAATTTTGAAAAGGAGCCAAAACTAGGAGTCGTATATATAAATTAGGGAGTCTGATGCAGTCTCATAACGTGCCTTGCCAAAAATTGCATACATGAAAGTAAAAAGGAAAGAAGTATTATGGTGATTATGATAGGCTCTTTGGCTACAAACTGGAATGGCAGCTAAAATATTACTATAGGAAAAGTCAGTTATTTTGCTTCCGTTTGGTTTTGAATGTGGTTTTCGTCAAAGACAATAAATTACTTATAAAAACAATTGTCGCTCAAAAAACAAGTGAAGATGACACACAGCATGATAAGTAGATGTTGTGGCCCATAAACACCTAGATCTATCCTCGATTAAGAATCAAAATCTCAGATCATAGAAACAACAGTCTATGATCTGAGATCAAAATGTAGATGCGTTGTAACCCCTGAGGACTAAGATGGAATGCCTCGTTACTAGTAAAAAGGTTTTCTGTTTCAGGTTCTTCAATATACGAAACGTCAAAATATTAAAATTTAATTTTCGGTTGGTACTCGTATTCTGCTAAAAAGTGGTCCTTTGTAAAGCCGACACATTCGTACTGCAACCATAATTTAGCCATTGATAGCCTCGTATTGACTTTTGATGGGCAAAGCTTAGTTTCATTGGACTGGATATATTAAATCTCATATTTCTGACATGATATCTTAACCGTCACATGTCGATTATTTGAGCAGTTTTATATTAAACTACCTTTTTGACAAAGTGAAAATACCACTGTTCTATTGAATATTATATTACATAATTTTAATATTTAAATATATTTTACAAAAAAAAATTAAATGTGTTTTTTTAATTGTTCTTCAAAATATATAGTAAGACCTCAGAATACAGAAAAATATTCTGAGAGTAAGACCTATTTCTTTTTGGTTTAGAGTGTCTATTATAATCTATCTAGTGTCATCACAAATGAAAGATACAAAACTACCATTGTCTTCTCTACTATTCTTAAAGCTAGCTAAAACAACAATAATGACTTCATTGTATAGAATATATATTTGTCATGTGTTTATCTGCTGTAGACAAATAATAATACACTTTGTTTTATTTTCAATAGCATTGTTTTCCATTTTCACCAGCCCGCACCGGTAATGACCTTTTCGTTTTGATGACACTATACTCTAGTGGCCATTCTTGATAGGCAGATTGGTACATACATTACACAGATTACAAGCCATCTTGAATCTTTGACGCTATTTACCGTTCTTGATGGTTATGTCACCATCCATTGCTGGCCATTTTTCTGGAATTACCCATAGTTCTGACGACATCCGTGGAATGAACTGAGAAGATGATATTCTGTAACGCTTCATCACAAAACTAAACTATATGAAGCATTGTTTAATATTATTACATTATGAGTATATATATACAGTCCTATATATAATAATACCCCCGGTTTAGAAGGTTGTAACTGTCTAATAAAAGTAAAAAAATAAACCGTTTCACTGCCTATAGATAGCAGAAAATCTATTCATAAAGAAAAGGCCTGATATTAAAATCTAGTCTGTAAAAAATATCAATGACTTATCAAAGGGTCAATAGTTGAATTATGATGAATTGTGTCAGTCAATCAACAAAAAGGATAATATTTCAAACAACATAATTGTATACTTTACTCAACAATTTCTAATTTAAGATAATGGAGATAAGATCATTGATTGATAAAACATGTTTGATAATTAATAGAATCAGGCGTTACTTTGCGGAAGTCCATTATATTAAATTTGCCAAATAATTACTTCCATTATAATAATTTGCCAAACAATTACTATGTGCGCAAAGTAATTGTTTGGCAAATTTAGCATGTTCGATAATTATGTTTAAAAGTTATCTTTGCTCTCCCACTGTTTTAAGATATTAATGTATTTTTTCAGCATTCTACTGTCAGGACCCAGATACAGGAAAACTGTACCCTGTTAATTCAACATGGCCTTCTCAGACATTTTGTGGAAATTATACTTGTAAATTACGAAGGAAAAATATCACTGGTGCTGAGGATTCTCCGATAAGAAAAGTTAATATTACTAACATAAATATCAATTTTTTAGAAAACGAAGGAGATATGTCTCCAAGTCCAAGTCAAATCGTTAACATGGGAAGAATAATTGATCAAGAAATGGGACAGTTGTTACAGAAAGAAAATATTTTATCAAAAACTGGGCCGAGCGAAGAAAAACAGATTGAATCTAATAAGTATGTGAATGAAGGTGACCGTTATTTAACTGACAGTGAAATTAAAACTATATCAGATATGCTTCATACGGTAAAGAAAAGTGATCTGGAAGCCATAGTTGATATTTACAATTTAGCTCAAGATATATATAAAGAAATGGATAAAGATACAATTGAAACTGTAATTCAGGAAACAAAGACGCCTATTCACACACAAAACAAAGTTGACATGAAGCAAGGAACCCCAACTAAAGATAAGCAACAAATTTCGTATTGGTATGAGCCATTACAATATCAAAATGCAAAAAGCAAACCAGAAAATGACATGAATGATGAGGGTACAACATTATCCACAACAACAGTTCAAACGACTAAAAACAAAAGCAATCCTAATACATTCTTCAAAGGGTCATTGACAGAAAAAGATTTTAGAAAACTTCCTTATTATTACCCAATATCGAACTTCCAAAGGGTATCTTCATACACTCACCCTGGTAAACATAATATTCAACAGAATACAGCTAGTAAACACAAGCCATGTAAAAAACCAATATCCAACAGTAATTATGTATTACCACCATGGATTAACAAGTCACTTAAAAATACATATAAGCCAGAATCATCTCAAAACTCTCTCGAACCATCATCACTTCTTTTGCCTTTCCCATTCGCCTACGTAAACAGCAATAATCTAAGTGGGTACCCACCGAACTTTTACTATAGTGGGTATAGTGGATATCCTTGGGCGCAACTCAATGTATACAACAGAAATCGAAACTATCAGCAATCATACTTAGGAACGGCTTACATAGCTCAGTTGCCTGGTGAATCGATATACGCTAAGCCCGAAATTACTAATAAATATGAATATCATAGCAACAGCATTACAAAAGAAGATATTATAGACATAATAACTAGTATGAAAAGTAAAGATATAAAGAAAATGCCTGATTGGCAAACTGATCCACTTCCAACGCAAGTTATTGAAGAAGTAAGAGGGAATGCGGAGAAATCTAAATTGCTTAAACCTTATCCTTTAAGAAAGAAAGTGAAATTAGAAAAAGTTGGTAAGGTGATTAAACTTGACGAAACTGTAAAGTCTAAAAGAAGTGTAACAGAAAATAAGACTGAAGAGGAAGAGGATGACGAATTTGAAGCGTATGTTGTAAAAACCACGTGAGTATTGTTTTTTTTTAGAAAAGTTTATATTGGCTGGCACCCATAGTTATTTTTTTTTATTTTGAGTCGATTCATTTGCCTCTGTCGCGTCTTACGACACCCATGGGGTGCATTTTGAAGAGTGTGCGCAGGAATTGCATAATTTAGCTCCTCCCTCTCCTTTCCAACATCGGACAACCAGACGTTCGGCCAGTCTCCACTCTTTCGTTGTTGACTTACCACGCATTCGAACCAAACGGTTTACTACATCGTCCGTGATGCGTACAGCAAAGGAGTGGAATAAGTTGCCAGCATCTGTGCTTCCATCTGATTACAATATGGGTGTCTTCAAGGCAAGAGTGAATAGGCTTTTGTTAAGTCAGTGCGCTTCACCATCTTTGGGTACATCACCACTTACCATCAGGTGATTGTATTTAAGCGCTGGCTTAGTATATTATAAAAGAGAGTAAAATCATACTTAAAAAAGAATAGGTGGCTTCTCCTAGAACAGCGCGTGAGTGTATGACAAGCAGCTCCTTCTCTTAGTCAATTCTCCAATGCGCTGTTCCGTCAGGCCTCCGTCACTCGCTCAAGGCCCTGCGTTATATGCCTACCGTTATGCGTATCGCCCACGATACAACTGACACTGGGCTGCCCCACGCCCGCCTGAGCGCTTGCACCGCGCACGGTTCCCGCGCTTACACGTCGAAATGCCGAAACCACGTAATTATTTTGCAGTGGATGGGTGTCAGAGCCAAAAAATCATTCTTAAATAATTTTGACAACGTAATAATGAATCGGCTTGGCAGCAGCGTGTTACACATTTTACAAACCATTGATTTTCCTCCGCTTTGCTCCTGTTTTCCTCATGATTCTTTATTAAAATTATTTACGCGATTTTTTCAACGATAAGATTTAATAACCGAGAAATCAGAGAAGGAAAAAAATGTATAAATCATTTTATAAAACTCAAACATATCTGATTGACACATAAAAATATGGTTATTTCGCAAGATTCGTTTTATTACAATAATCATCATAGGTACAACCCTAGCGCATTCGTGCGATGACGCGCTTGCACGTGAGTCGCACGGCTGTCAACACAACCTCGACTCTTTAAGCGCGTACTTATGGTACATTTTCGTCTCTTTTTTCTCTCTCATTTTCGTACATTCTTCGTCGTGCGAACAGCAGATATTATTATTAAAAGTTTGTAGGCTATTATAGCGTAGGTATTTTCGCTCTTGTATGGGAGTGATGTATCTGTTTACTTTAGTAAACTATTTAGTAATCTGTGGTTCCGTGTCGGCGATGTTGGCGATAAAAATGGCAGCACAAAACTAAACGTCTGAGACCTTCAAATAAAATTACACTTGTAAATTTCTAAGGGTTTCACAAAAAAAAAAGAAAAATATATGGTTAGTATTTCTTTAAAAAATGAAACGCGATTTTTCTTCTTTAATTTTTCAGCATTAATTTAGGTCCAAAAATGTTAAAAAAATATAGTTTTCTTGTTATAGTACATCAGAAAAATAATTTTGTAGTGACTTTTTTGTTTCAAGTAATTTTTAGTTGTGGTTTGTATAAGTTATGGGACGAATAGGGGCAAAGGCAAAACAGAGCTGTTTTTTTTTTCAAAGAATGACAAATAACCGCCCTACACGTAACACCTTTGATATAAAAAGTTGACAAATTAGTTAAAAAGAATGAGAAATAGGAATGCGCCCCTTTGTCCTGACAGATGTTACGACCGGCGCGGCGGTCGGATTTTAATCATCGCCTTTTTTACTAAAGTTTTAGTAACTATCTCTCAAATATTTTTATGCGGTTTGTAATATGGATTATATTTAAAATAAACTTGCGATTGTTGGCACTTGGTGATAGTACAGCTGCATTTTTGTGATTTGGATAAACACTTGTACTTGCTCTACAATATTTATTTTAAATTAATATATTCGTTATTCAAAAATACCTTGATGATGCCGTGAGACAAAACCGGTTGGTTTTTGTAATTAGTATAATAATAATTTAATATAAATATTGTGAAACCTGTACAAGTGTTTATCCAAATCACACAAATAGAATATATATATTATTTATTATACAGGGTTATTTTGCAATTGCCGGCCAAATTTGCAGAGAAGGTTCAGAATAAATAATATAGGCAAAGGGTAAAATAAAAATTATCAACTCAAACTCAAATATTCAGTCCCTTTTATCTTTTAAATTCAAAATGCGTGGAACTGATTTTAGTGCGCACGCACACATTCGTAAGGGTCGATCGGTAGGCAAAAACGTTGTTGCCCATAAATCACATTCAATTTGGGATTATTGCAAATAAATGTAAAAGCCTTATTTACTCGTATTTTCAAAAACAACAATAACGGTATATCACTATTTATATACATAAATATATATAATATGTGTACATAAAATAATAATTTTGGCTACTCTTTGAAAAATAACACTGTATTTTGATTGTATTAATAATATTTTAAAAGTTATAATTCCTAATTAGGTGAAATTTTAAAAACTTTTTTATTTTTGGTGTATTTAATTTGGTCTGGAATTTTGAGTTTTAATTTTAGTTGAGGACCATTGTTATAGATATATGTAATAAATACATACATAATAAATACATATACTAGGCGCGTTTAATAATAATTCAAAATTATTACGGGTAATTGTTATTAAATGTTATTTTAGTCTGTGTTATTGCCACTTTTAGTGGTATACGCTTGGAATCAATTAAATTTTTAAACCAATTACATGTTATGTTTGGAATCAATTAAATGTTACTGTGGAAGCGAAATACGGTCTATCTTATTTTATTTTTTTTTGATTACGTAGGCCAGTATTTTTTTATATAATGTACGGACACGTATCTTCCTTCTTGTTGTTAATTATGGTAACGGTAATGATTTAAGCGACTCTTTCTTCATTTTATATGGAAGAATAACAATAATATAACACAACTTCAATGTCGTTTAAAGAGTTGCTATAAAAAAATACGTCTACATTTTTTTTTGTTTACGATTTTGCGTTAGAATTCTTTTCTATAAAATTTCTTTACCTCTTGACAAATGAGCGCCTAGTCCATGACGGTAAGTGGTATATCTACATCTGTCTTCAATTAGGAATCAAAATGCAGATACGTTGTCACCCCTAAGGACTAAGATTCCTTGTTTGTAGTAAAGGGGTCTCTGGATATCTACATTTACCAAAGAAAACGCAGCATTAAGCTATTATTTCACGCTAGTATTCTATGAGAGCGTACTCGTTCCCTTGTAGAGCCAACCCATTCGAACTACAAAGAAAATATGGCTGCTAGCACAGCTCTACCGCGTAAAGAGATTACACCTTACTTATCTATACTATAAATATTAAATTAAAAATCATTTATTTCGAAACTAGTCCATATAAAAAAGATATTAGATTTAAATTTACTTTTTATAATCACTTAAATTCATATAAATTCAAATAAAATACACGAACACAATAAAACAGATACACAGCTTTAACGTAATCTAAATTTAGGTTTAGATCCGGAGTGCTCAACATGCAGCCTGGTCCAGTCGCAGTATAGAGCAATCCAGATCCATCCGCCAGGCGAACAGTTGCATGTGGTCAAAGTCAATTAGTTTCTTTATTTCAAATTTTGGTCCAGCACTTCCAAACATTAGTTCTTTTGCGTAACGAATGTTTGCAATATCGTTCAAACTTCGTTAATAAAATCTATGTGCTGTCATACAAGCCACGACAGTATGACTCGCAACCAACTCGTAACGAAACATTTTGTGTTAGTGAATTTTAGTTTTCACGAGTCGAAATAGTTTCGTTTGCAAACTTTTTAATTAAAATGATTATGGCTTGATGACTGCCTCATTGGTGTAATGGTTGAAGACGTGACTGCTGACCATGTGGCCCTGGATTTGAATCCCAGATCAGGACAAATCAGTTGTTGGGTTTTACGGTCAAGAAATACTCAGTCACATCCTGAAGTCGAAAATTAATAGAATCAGGCGTTACTTTGTGGAAATCCATTATATTAAAGCTTTTAAAAAGTTACCTCGCTAACATCCCCTCGATTAGATAAAATAATGTATAAGCACTTCCCACCCTCCCTCAATTGCGTGCACTATCCCCGTTACCGCTAATCCCAGCACCACTACTCCCAACACCTCCTGGTGTCAGTCACCGCAGAGTCAACATCACCTGAAGATGCCTCGTGTAGAGGCGAAACACGTGTCGTATTGCCATTAGTGGTGTGTCTTTCCTAGTGTAGTGGTGTTGAGAGTAGTGGTGCTGGGATTAGTGGTGACGGGGATAGTGCATGCAATTGAGACAGAGCGGGAGGTGGTCTTCAAACTAGGTAAGACACATTATTTTATTTTATTGAGCGGATGTACGCAAGGTAACTTTTTAAAAGCTTTAATGAAGTCGAGAAGTTGGCGGTATTTCAACCCGTGCTTAAGAAAGCACGTAGGACGTTGATCCTGCGCCTGATATTTTTCCGGTTGTGTCGTATTACCGTACCATCGGGCTATAAGAGTGCGGGAATAGAGAGTTTATATGTGTTTGCGAATACACATAACTGCTATAGTCTTGTTACCCGCAGATGACTGCTCTCTGTTGAGACTGGGCGTAACCGAAATTCGGCCTAGAAAACATTGTATGGCTTGATGAATGTTAAATATATTTTCGCCTCACATGCTAAGATTTCTTATAACATCGAAATGATAACCGAACGAACAGTACCACCTGATGGTAAGTGGCTATTGCAGTCCATGTACACTTGCAACCAACTTCAGACACTGGAAGACTACACACACTGACACTACTGTGGTCTAAGGTGACATTTCTTAGGCCCGGCGGCCACTGGCGTAATATTACGTAGAACAAGGGATCCATTTGACAGCAGTCATGCAGCAAACAGGCAAATTGCGTTGTTCTTAGGCAAGCATTAGCAAGCCATCACGATATTGTGCTTGGACCGAGCCAGCGCTTTTCAGAACAATTATCACATTGCAAGCTAATAAACTAGTAGTGTGTGTATTTAAAATGGTACATTGTGATCTAGTACTTAGAACAGTCCTTGTTTAAGAAATAGAGGAATATATTCAACTAAAGAGATTATTTTGGGTGAGTAACCTTTAGAAGTGAAGATACATAGTACAAAAAAAAACATAGTGGTTGTACTTGACTCGGTTTTACAGAGTATTATAGCTTAGGCATCCCGAAGTCACAGATGTTAAAAATACGGACGTAATGTTACACTGTAAACGTGTGAAGCACTATAGCATGAGGAATATAAAACCGAGACTATAAGTCCCACAATTTTGTTTGTCATACGCGATATACTCATATATACATGTTTATCCGCGCCCTGCGTACTGACGGACCTTGATGTATAATGTGTGTGTGAAATTGTAGAACCTAGAGCGCTTCGCACGTTGTCAATGTAACATTGTCAGTGATTTTTTTAACATCCGTGGCGGAAATTTGAACTTTAATGTCACCAAAATAAGTGTTAGTATCCGTCACCTTAATGCCCGTGTCATCCAAGCAGTAAGCAGCAGTGGATGCATGCAATGCTGCTTGACTACAAAAGTAGGTAAGAGACACAAAACAGACACCTATATGTCCTTACTTTTGTGGCGGCGCTGTCGTTGCGCCACAAGCGAAACACATCGAAGCCTAAATCGCGCTATCAAAGTTCCGACATTAAAGCAGCATATATAGAATAGCTCCGAACTACCAATCGGAGCGTTGGCCGCTCCCTGGGCAGAACACCTTGCCCGGCGGGAGATCTCCCCTTTTCCTTCCACACACTACACTTTTGTTAACCAATAGGGTTCCTTTTTACTTGTACTGCAATTACCAATTTACGCGTCAAGTTTAGCAGTACCAGTCAATGTCAAAATCTTTTTATTCATAGTTGGTGCTCATAAAATCTTTACACGTAAGGAAGTTGAGCCCGTACCAATTTACTCGATAAGGCACTTTTAACGCGAACGTTAAGCATTCTTAATAGAATGGCTGACGGCATTGACCTATTCCATTGCACCTTGAGTGAATTTACTAGGGTAGGATTGTTTACAATATGTTACAGTTAAAGACCACATTTTTGTTATGCATGAAAAGAAGTACACTGTCGCATTAGGTTCTTTATCCTGTCATGATCGTTGTTAGTTGAAATAAATAAATAAAAATAAATAAAAAAGTTATCAGCAAGCCATACTGCGCAGTATCTCACGAGAATACGAAAGAAACTTACAAGTAGATTATTTTTCTTCTAGCTTAGTAACTTACTAAATACTGTTGTCGACATTTGAATTGTGTTACAGAGTAATGACGGTACATGAATATTTACTACCCCATATTGCTACGTGTATGGAACGTGAAATTCAACACGTGCAAAGGAAAACTCCCCTCCCCAATGAGGAACCTACACCTTTCCTCATAGGGAAGATTTCTCAATAGTTGCCACACTATGCAGACGGGTTGACAACCGCAATTTCTTATTTTTTGGAATTGATATCAGGAAAGTGCTTCTGCCCATCTCTTGTTACAGTTTCCTTCTGTTACCGCTTTCGACACCGACGAGATCTTATGTAGTTGTGAATTCTCTTCCGTTGACACTACACTCAATACAAACTTATAGTAATAAAATATTATTTTGACTTTTTCAGATGTGAACCAGGCACTGAACTGGGATACTTTCGCCGAGGAAACATGAGTCGACCGTTTCCAGCCTGTTGTCCAGAGAGGATAGAACGTTGAATATTTCCTTAGTTTATAATGCCTTCGTTTGAAGAATATTTATTATAACGCATTTTGATAACGTGCATACTAATTTGTCGAATTAGTGACCCTTGTTATAACCATGCTAAATTGTAACAAGCGTTCTAAAAATGTGTATAAGATAAATCACGAAACTAAAGTAAGGTTAATAACTCACAAAGGCATTTTTGAGGTAGAAAATTTAGTTTACACTAAAATTTTATCGCAGGTGACGAGTTTTTTCTAACAAGTGTCATATAACCAGTTTATATTATATTTGAAAAGTACCACCCTGTTTTTGCCGCATAATAACAGTGCGTTACAGAGTGTGCACTGTGCAGGTCTATTATAATTATAGACGCATTTCTAGACGTAAAAGCAATTACCGGCGTGACTGGCTGTATGCATTTGCTATCTGAAGTTTATAAATGAGGTAAATATCTCTGGAGGTGCTGTAACGAATCTATCATTCAACTGATCACCGGGGCGTTGTAAAGTCAACTATGGGAAATCTTGTAAGATCGCTGGTCTCCAATATATGGATTACGATATTGGATATCAGATTCAAGTTTAAGAGATCTTGTTGAGAAACCATTACAGCATATAAAAGTAATTTTGTTTAAAATGCCTACTTTATATAAAATAGACCAATATCATCAGGACATTGATATGAGTATGTAAAAATAGTTTTTATTATGCTCTTATCACACTTCCCTGCCTATGGATATTAATTTGCTAAAAAGGACATTTTAAAATATTTATAGACCTTTTACGGCATGTAATACAAGTTGTAATTGAAAATGAAATTATAAAATGGCTTTAAATTATTATAGCGTTTAACAAAAAGTAAGAACCGACTTCAAATATCTAAAAGATATGTTATTTACTTGCTATCCTTAGGGATGCAATTTTACTTTAAATTTATATAGAACCACCTTTGAAGTATAACCTATTTAATAAAAAAAAGTATCATCATAATTGGTTCTTAATATGAAAAGTGTAAAGCATACAAAAAAAATACACTCGAACTGAAAACCTCCTTTTTGAAGTTAGTGAAAAAAAAACCCAAAGTTTCTTACGGATTCTACACTAAGAATTTGTTTTTGCGTACCGGCGTAGATTTCGACGTAGTAAAGATCTCTTTAAGCAAGCCTAAATTTAATAAACCATTTGTAAGTTGATTTTGACTATGACGGTGTAATATCTCGTATGTACGATTTAAAATATCTTGACTAACGTCAAGATGTATGTGTAAGCCATTTCTGGTACTTTGATTTCTAGTAAGCCTACTTTTCATAACTCCCTTATTATCCTTATTTATATGCGAGGAGGCCATCCAAAGTAGTGGACTGTTTATTAGGTGATAAAGAAAATAAAATTTTAATGTAATTTTAATTGATTTGAAGCTCCTGATATATAACGAAAAATTACTAATTAAATGAATTTAACGCACATTAATATATTCGCGTAACTTACTTAACAAAAATAAAACGTCTATTTAAAAAAAAATAATAAAATAGTACTTCAACATATAGAAAGTTATTTTTATTGCTCTAAAATATATTAAAGTTATGCTGATTTAGTATTAATATTATCAAAAAACAGTAGATGAGGAAACAAACTGTGTAATATTTATTTTTGTAGTTGATTTGTTTTAATAAGAGTTTTAATTTAGTGTGTAAATAATTTTTTACATTAAATGTTTTTAATAAATTGCTTTTTATTTTGTAGTTTTTAAGTAAAATTGACAGCTTCTTTCTATATTAAAATTAGAGTTTTACCTACGAAACTGCCACTATATATGGAAAATTATTTTTTTTTATAAAAAATAACTTTTATTATTCTAAATATTTTTTTAATGGAGTAAGGGTGACAAACGGGTACACAGTCCACATGATGGTAAGTGGAAGATATGGCCCATAGACATCTATATTTATCCTCGATTAAGAATCGTTTCCATAAAAATGGGGAGATCCTTTTTACTAGAACTAGGTTCACGACATTCATCATACGAAACACAGCAGCATAAAGCTATTTTATGCTGATATTCTGTGAGAGCGTGGTTCTACCCCGGTCGAGCTGCCCCATTTGTGTTACAATTTTTATATAGGTGCACCTATATAACATAGATCTACCACGTAAAAAGGAAAATTTTATTAATATAATATATTATAACAAATTTATGCTATTTTATGGACGTTTGTTTATGGACCTTGCTATAAAAGTCTACTGCAGGAGAATTGATGAACTCTATAGGTGTACTATACTGTTTTTTTGGAATTGGAATTTTTGTGTATCATAAAATTATCTAAACTTTGAAAAAAGTAAAAGTCTGTTGAAGTTAAGTCTACAGTATATATTGGACGAGGAAAAGTCTAATCTAGCTTTTACTTTGCTTATTTTTCCAACGTCTATTGTGCAGTATGTAGTCTGATGTTGTTATGAAGAAGTAAGGGCGAAGAGCAGAGCACTGATTTGGGTTGTTTGAGTGCCAGTTTTACCACCATCATTCGAAATTCTTGACAAAACGGTCAGCGGTAACTGTGGCACTAGATAGCAAGAAGCTATAGTAGCAACATCATCAATAGACCACCAAGTTGTCACCAAAAGTTTTAGACACTGACTTAGGAACCTGGCTCTAACCATTGTGATTTAAGCTTGCGATTATCTTATAGGATTTTTCTTAGGAGGACTTCTCATTGCAGGTAATAAAGCACCTAAAAACTTCCTTACCTTACTATCTCGATTCTGCAATATGATACCAGCATTGGAAGCGGGCCTGTCATATGCAGTCGTGTGCGTCACTAATTTCGTGAGATAACCATTCGTCAAGCTTCGTTATTTTACCGTTTGTATAGTAAAAACTTAGCTCTTTCTCTCACTGAAAACTAACGCTGTTGTTTCGGCGACAGAGTAAGCTGAGTGAGGTCCGTTTGCCTAATGCGCCACAACGCACAACATGAGAAATGTTATTTTATTTTATTTTTTTACTGTAATTTAGAAGTATACATACTTTTTAAATATTATATTCGTCAAATTATTTTTTTCTTTTTAGTTTTTCAATTTTTTATCCATTTTTAATTAATGTCTCTACAAATGTTAAAATTTAATGATTTTTGGGGCGTGTTGCAATAAATGTTTCTTTATTTCTTTGCAATATTTTGAATACAGACGCTCGCATACTTCTTTCTCACATCTAGCCTGCCCTTTTTTAATCCTATTCCTAACTAATAATGATGGTTGGACGAAAATATACTGCGCATCGCGGCCGTACGTACAAAACGTTAAATCTTTGAATGCACCTGTGATCTAGCGTGGAATTAATAAGTGCTGGTGAAATGCCGATTGACAAGTTATCGCCGTTTTGCCTACTTTAATAGCTTTGAATTTACGTAAAATTATTTTCTTTACTTTCACATTAACCAAGTTGCCGCAAAAATCTAATATTCTTTTAACATTTACATCAAAAACTGACGCTAGGTCAGACGTTGTTTAATATACTTCCACTTCCACTGTCGCCTTCAGTTTTTATTATCAAACTACTTTTCCCGGCGGCAATGAGGTTTATTTGTGAGATCGAAACTTCTTGAACGAAAGCGATTGAACCCATAACGCCTGTGTTAGTAGAGCTGGGTCCATATAAGTCATTGATATTGCGTGCCGTTAGATGCATTGTTTCCGTGTTAGAACTCATTGGCAAAAATAGGACAAATTTTCTAAGCGACCATGGCAATAAATATAGCGATAACACAGACAAAAACAAAACTCTAAAAACAAATGAGTAACTTGTTTTGAAAAGGTAGGTACATTCCTAAAATACAAATTATATTCAAATTTAGAATTCGAAATTAAACTACTACAGTTACAAGATGGCCAATTTAACATAACGGTACTTTTGTAGGTACAGGTCAAATATTAACGTAATGATTAAAAAACTCTAATGAATGCTGTCGTCGCGCCACAAGCGAAACACGCCGAAGCCTAAATCACACTATCAAAGTTCTGCAGTTAACGCACTATGTATAAAACAGCTCCGAACTACTACTCGGAGCGTTGGCCGCTCCCCGGGCAGAACACCTTGCCCGGCGGGAGATCTCCCCTTTACCTTCCACTGGCCACAGTGGTGACCCCGATGTGACGGCTACACATTGTTTAAGGTTCACATCATAGCAGGGGCTAAAATATAAACAAAAGTAAGTTTTTGTAGGGTTCTAATGCATTTGAATATGCTGTTATTCAGAGAACAGAGGTATTTTATGAACTAGTAGTAAATTAAACTGAAATTTCTTTCATTAAGTATTATTTATAATCTATATTACATATATTTTTTATGGGAGAGGGGGCAAACGAGCGTTCGGCTCACCTGATGGTAAGTGACTACCGTCGCCCATGAACAACTGCAACACCAGGGAGGAAATTGCAGATGCGTTGCCGGCCTTTTAAAAAGAAGTAAGCTCTTTTCTTGAAGGTCCGTAAGTCGTATCGGTCCGGATAAACCGCCGGTGGTAAATTATTCCACAGAGAGGTCGTACGTAGAAGAAAACTCCTAGTGAAATGTACAGTGATGGACCGCCAAGCAACGTGATGGTGTGGATGGTATCAGAAGTTTTAACGCGATATGCGTTCGCGAAATTTGGCGACTGGGATTAACCCAAACAATTTCTCAGAGCAGTCCCCGTGGTAAATGCGAAAGAAAACGCAAAGGGATACAACATCTCTACGCAGCGCTAGTGAATCGAGCCGATCGATAAGGACTCGGTCGTTGACGATTCGAACCGCTCTGCGCTGGATGCGGTCAAGTGGAAGGAGCTGGCACTGGAGAGCCCAAGCCCAGAGATGTGAACAATATTCCATGTAAAGTTTTGGGCGATGTGCCGGCATGAAATACTCTCCCGCTTATATATGAGACGTGTTTCTATTTCTTTGCATTAGCAGAGAGACGTAAGAACAATTGAGATTGAAAATATAAAAATAATATTTGTTTAAAGATATTTTATATT